AGCAGATTAAAATAAATGAATTTAAAAGAAAAACATTGGCTTTTAAATAAAAACAGGATAAATAAAAAATGCGTTTTACTGGTCTGATAAAATTAAAATGCGATTACAGTAAACTTCTCTAAACTTAAGGCACTACAAATTACAGGATATATTACATGCTCAACATACGCTTTCATTTACATGTCCAGTATATTATATCTTTGTTACGTAGTTCATGTCCCTGTCACAAAAATAAATAAATAAGTACATACATCAATGGTAATACGGGATTAAGAGTTAATAGGTTTTTATCGTTGACCCCAGTCGCCAGTGCCAGGTTCTTGCTCTTACTTTGAAAGCAATCTGATGGTATTTCCGTTAATATTTTAGTTCAGATACACCACCTTGATACACCCGCTGCACCCGTGCCGCACCAGTTCACTGACACGAGCAAGACGCGTTCTAACGTTAGTGTCAAGTTTTCTATTAATTTCTCACGTTTTTCGCTGCCAGCGTGATCCTTCACGTACACCTTCACCAGATTCGGTGTCTTTAATTTGGAAACGGGCGACGGGTGTCGTGGCCAAAGTTGTTCCAGTCTCAGCGAGGCCCGGAAAGCAACAAAGTATCTGTTGTGCTGTTGAAGTGCTGCTCAATTCTATTCATATGCAAATGCTGTAATCTGTCGGCGAATGTAGTGAATACTAACGAGAAGCAACTCTGGAGAAGAAAAAAACCCTCCAAGTTTCCCTGCTGCACAAAAGCGCGCACCCGAAGCCGTGTCACAGTCCCGGAAAAATTACGCACCTTACTCCCGGCAGCGCGCCTGAACATCGCATAGAGAGACCTCCCGTAGGTGTTTATTAACTGCACTGTAGTTACCCCACTCGCGATGCCTCCTTTTTTGAATATCCAGCCAGCCCAGATGGTAGTTAGTTATTTACAGCAGGGCATGATGACAGCTCCTTTTCAGGGCAGCGTCAACAAACAACTACAGTGTTTATCCATATGGTGTGTATATGTATGTGTGTGTGTTCTCCGGCAAGAGTGGGTAAAGATGTAATTGAGTGTGATGGGCTGCAATATGAACGCTGCAGACTGCAAATTAAATAGCCGCCCAACTGACTACATTGAGGCTACACAAGGAAAATTTTCAACCTGTCTGACCCCCTTAGAATATATCAGAGTGGTTAGTAGTGGAAGTGTTTGTGGGGTTTGTCTCAGAACCTAGAATTTAATAAATGGGTATAACACTTCTCCTAAATTGAAAGGATGTGAATCTTTGTTTAAAAAAATCTTTCCAGAAAACTTCAAAAAGGCATTTATCACAGACCATTTCAAAGCTCCCTCCCAAATAAAGAAATACTTAGGTGCAAAAACCAAAGTTTAAAACAAAACAGTGGCCCAAACATTGAGGTTTTGAACAGGGAGAAATGTTAAGATCACAGAGAATTACTACATCCTCAGGCAAGAGCGATATAAGACGTACTAACATCACAGTTTAGTACGAAGCATTGCATTGGAATGAGCAAAACTTCCTGAAGAAAGCTAACATTGTTTCAGTAGATAATGTGCTTTATTTCTTCCAAGTATCCTTTTCTGTGTTTATAGTCAGCCATCTATCAACATGATTGTTTGACTCAAAGGCTTGGGAGTAACATTGTGTTGCGTGATTGAATTGTACTGCTGTGCTATCAGCAGAAATCAATGCCACTGTGCCACACAGCTCTTGTGAAAGCCGGATTGCCCTGTTTGTGTGTTTGTGTGTATGTGTATGGGGGCTGTGTAATTGTAGGTTGCCAGTTGCATAGCAGAGTCCTGATGAGTAGGTTAGCGGGGGGTGATCCATCACTGATTGTGGTAATTATGTGTGCTTTTTACGAGGGTGTTTTAATGTTTTCCACTGCTGAGTTGCTAAGTGTGACCTTAGAATTGAGAAACCTGAGACTTGCACACTATTTGCCTATTCCTTTCTGAGTGTGTGTTTGTTTGCTGCAGGTGAATGTGTGGAGGGTCTGTCAGAGGACGATGTGGTGCTCTTACACTCCTGCCGTCAGTGGACCACAGTGACGGCCCACAGCTTAGAGGAGGGTCACTATGTAATTGGTCCCAAAATTGACATCCCTCTGCAGTATCAGGGTGAGCATGCATCTGCACATACACTTTGCTTTTATACATCAGCGGGGAGAAAACCTTTGTCCTAAATATATAGATTTTCCCTAAAATGTTCATTTGCTGCAGGAGTAAAAAACAGGTCAAGAATTTCTACAGAAGGATTCTTTTTCTCTGAAAGCATCTACAAACAAAATAGCTGTGGATCAATAAGCTGAAAGTTCAATGTGTTATTTTCTTTGTGTTGTTCCTTCAAATCTTACAATACCATTTAATTAAAGTGTTAAGATTTAATTAAGCTTAATATACAGCACTGTATATTAAGCTGTTAAATATACAGTACTGTGCAAAAGTCTTGAGTCTCGAGTCCTATTTTATCTTTCTTCTCATCTTTTAAAGTTGTCTTGAGCAGTAGTTCTTCAGGCTGTTTGAAGATTTTTCAAAGCTTTTCTTTGGAAATTGTCTGTTTTTCACTCATTATCAGTCTCTTCCTTGTAGCTGGCTATTTCCTGAGAATTCTTTTGTTTGTTAAGCCACGTAACACTGACCTATGAATCATTCAAACATCAAAAGGCACCTCAACTCCACGTGTTGTGTCTACACATAACAGACAACTTAGCAAAGAACCTAAGCAGCCTGTCACCAAAATGCATTATTTGTTACAGTTTCTTCAGTTATATCTATGCAAAATTCTACAGATAACACATTTTGAGAGATATAAAATAGCAATTTTGCACTAACAAGGTTATTATCAAAGTACTGCTAACTGAAAATTTGGCATATCATATCATGGTGTGTACAGGCAAGAAAAATTATAGCAGATGAACCACACCTGAAAGTCATGTCCATGAGAAACAGGAAAAATTCTAGCAAACACCTGACTTGGGACCTGAGATGTGCATCTGGACAGTCTACTGTTTGCTGAGGCCTCATCAGAAATGGTCTCGGTGGAAGGGTGGCAGTCAAGAAGCCATTCTTAGAAGGGAAACAGGGAAAAAACCGTTAAGAAAAGAACTGGACTAAAAATCAGTGGCAACAGATCTTATGGAGTGATGAATCCAAACTTGTGGAGAGTGGAGGAGGTCAGGAGCAAGCAACAAAGATTGTCTAGAACCATCTGTAAAACATGATGTCTCTGTCCTGGTTTTGGGCTGCATTTCAGTCAGTGTTGTTCAGCATCTTGTCAAAATTGACGGAATTATGAATGCAGAAAAGCACAATCAGATTTTGAGCCACCATGCAATACCATCTGCAAAGCATCCGATTGGAAACAGCTTCATTTTTGAGCATGATAGTAATTACAAACACATTATTGCCAATCAAGTAAAAACATACCTGTATTTTTTTTTTAAAAAAGACCGGTGTCTCAAGACTTTTGCACAATACTCACTATGACTGCATCCTGTGTTTGACACAACACAGTTTGTCAGCATGCCCTAGGGATAAATTGTGCAGCTGTATTTCTACTTAAGAACAGCTTCAAGCACAGTGCTCAGTAGTTTTTTTCCTACATCTATCAAGAAATAAAAAAGTTTCACATAATTGTCATAAACAAACTGAATTTATATTAATAACGACCCTCCCCAACTCCTCCCTCCAGGGTTGATTGGAAACTTCCCTTCTTTGTGTGTTATGTCAGTAAAAACCACTCCTTATGAATGTGAGGTAATTCATAATTAATAATAGAATTGCTGATGCTCCAGTTCATTCAGGACAGTTCACACTCTTGTTCAAGAAAATGAAAACACCTTGAAACACACAAACCTTCCCCTGACCCTGTTAGTACCAGTAGAAATGTTAGCGGACATCCTACACTTTCCAATCTATTCCAGTAATTCTGTCAGTTTTCTGCTAAGTAACAAAAAAAATAACACAATAATCTGGAGCCATTAATTTAACTTTTATTCTTCAATTCTATCAGAGTACCTCTAAACGAATTACAAACCAAAATAATCAGTTATTGAATTTATACTGGGTCTTGGTGTAGTCAAGCTATTCTTAGCTCCTCCCCATTTCAAAACAACTTTTATCTGATTGGTTGTCCCTCACAAACAGAATGTTTAAAAGAGAGATGTGCGGGGGTCATCTTTTGACATTCAGAGCCTTGTTCCTGAGGTGGCCATATTATGGACATCCACGCACTCTGATATTATACACATCCAAAAGTTGAAAAACTCTAAACAAGTTTACTTAAACCTGAGCTTTTGTCCCTAATTCTACAGTATAAAACTTTTCCTATCCTTAATATGATCATCTGCCCTTGTAACAGACAGGAAATGAATAAAAGCATAATAGAATCCCTTTACGGAGGAGGTGCGTACTTTAAACTCTTAATGTACAGATGAGCACATCTTCTACTACCACCTTCATTCACACATTCACTCGTGTACCATGTGACCTTGTCTGACTCCAGTTGTCCATTGACTCGCGTCTTCCTGCTGAATGAGTCTAGCCGGCATGACCTCACCGGAGCTCATCCCCACCATCCCATTGTTCCGACTCTCAACCCAGTCACATTATTCTCAGTGTAACTGGATCTTAATGCCTTCTCTCCATTGCTTCCTTCACTGATGGAGTGCTGATGTCACCTCACGCTACCACCACTTCTCAGGCTCCTTTTCGGAAGAGAGAGAGAACATTTGGCTGGGAGGGGGGAGTATGTTGAGATCATTCAGCATTTCATATCTGAAACACGTGACAGCTAGTATTTCCCGGAGATTAGAAACACAGAAAGTAATAACATAGCAAATATATACACTACCAAGTAGAATAGTAAATAAAGAATGCCCAATAAAGGTAACAACGATTCACTAGTTTGTTCAGTTTCTTTTTTTTTTAAACTTATTTTATTGGTTTAGTGTTGAGATTGGATTGAAAGCTATAAATTATAATAAGCACAATAAAGGCAAGCTTTTGTTTTATTCTTATATTCATGAATGCTTATTAAAGATGGTGAAATATTTAATTAATAAGGTCAGCTTATGTACAAGTCCTGTGAGCCAAAGAGCTCCGGCTTCAGACTCAGCTCAGGCTTTTTCTTTTCATTCTTGGCTCTGCATGATGTCAAGGAGAGGGGATACCCTTCCTATAGTCATAACTAAGGAGGTGCAAGGCTCATTAAAGGATAAATGGGAATTACTTTGGACTGACTGTTTAAAGTTGCTCTAGTAAACTCCTAGATGTATAAATAAATAAATCTATGCAGAGTCAGAGTCGGAGATATGCAGATTTTTTTCAACTTAATGCCATTGTTCATTAGCATTGGTTATTTTTTCCAACGTTTCTGTTTATATCTGTTTTCATGTAGAACTTTTGGGGTGTTATCAGTATAAACAGGAAAGATCTGTATAGCCTCTTGTAAGCTCAAAAAGTGGTTAATATTAATGCCTAATTTCAGGATCTGGGAAAGTGAGTTGTTCTTTTATGTTCTCACTCCCAGCGGGTAACGGCCCTCAATTAATTGCTTGAATAATCAGCAGACGGTCTTTTATATGACTTGACTTTTACACTGTAGTCTTAGGCAGAGCTCTGACAAAAATCAACACACAACAAACAGACTGTATTGTCTGCTTCTCCCAGCCAGCTGTGACCCCCTATTTTTCTCTTTTCCTCTTGCAAGAATTGCGCAAAGTAATGTTGCCCCTCTCTCTTCTTCACTACACTAAACACAGCAACAATGGACAAACTCAACCAAAGGTCCCATGCTTACATTCAGTGGGTTTAGAGCCCTTGTTGTGGCCAGTTAGCTCATCCGTGCAGTGCGAACATAAAAGTTCTGGCCACAGAGAAAAGCTGATTAAAACATGCTGTGTGCTTCCAAGATTTAATTAAAAAGGAGTATCTGTCCAGCTTTAAAGATAGAAGGCTGCAGCTCCATAATTCTTTTAGTGACCTTTTCTGGCTCTAATCCTTGACTTTACTTGTTTTGTTTGTTTGTTTGTTTGTTTGTTTGCAATAAATATAGTTGTTTCTTATTTGTGTCTAATCAGTTTGCAATCGTGAAAAAGTGTGTTCGTAATCAAAGAGGTTTTTTTTTAAGTGATGAAATCAAATAGGAGACCCTGAAGCAAATCATCAGCCTGACATCCTCTTTACTTAATGATGCATTCCAACACATCCGAAAAAGACACATTTACATGAATGCATCCTTTTAGCACTACTTTTGTGTCCCTTTAAATATGTTAGATGAGGTGCTTTGGAATCACAGGCCGTCGTCTGTGATGAGCTAATGTCTGTGTGATGACTTCATACAGGAAGTCTAAATAAGCGTAGGATGAGTGCAATATAGGTTTCCCCGTGGGGATGGACAACAGGATGCCTCCCTCCTTCTTCTCCTCCCTGCCTGTCTGCATCCTCGTCTACCCATCACTGAGAGGCTGGGATGACAGAGGACAGAAAAGCTGAATGATCACTTATCATGAATGGGATTAAGGGAAGCAACTGGGGCTGCAACCACCCTTGTAAGGTGGACCCAGTGGCCAAAAGCCTTATGTGGAAGCCTTTACAAGTATCAGCCTGCTTTATCATATAGCAAGAGCAGCTTTTTAATATGACGTCACATCTGTGTTCTGTTGCCTATCAGCGACATTTGGAATCTCACTTTTGACTAAATATACATTTCCAGAATTGAGCAGGGCTTTGTTTAGGTTGGTGGTAAACCTTGTTTCATTTTCAACTCCTACTCTTTGAGGGGGTGGTGGGTTGTGTTGAAAAGTGGGATTTTGCTGGTATTGTTAGGTGGGTGGAAGCTCCTTATCCTAGGGGCTCATTTTGAATTGGAAAGTGGGGGGTGGAAGAAAAAGAGAATGAGAGAGCTTCTGGCGTAGATGATGGTGGAGTTTGGTATTCTACTCTGTCTACCAGACAAAAAAAAAAAAAAACCAAAGCAAAAAAACTTCTCTTGTTCATTCAAACTCTGACTCTGTGAAAAGAAGGAGGATCCTCGAAAGGATGTAGTCGTTCAACTGCAGTCTGATAAACTGGCCAACAGGAGCAAAGCATTTAAAATGTCCTTTGAACAATGTTGGTTTGGTTTGTGGGCTGTTAAATGACTCTTTTCAATGTTGAAAAGAGGCAAAAAGGCAACAAAAAAAATATTTACAGCTTCAACAGCACAAAACTTAAGTTCAGGAGGGTGAAAGATTTACAGACGAGGGGATGAGCAAGGGACAGAAAGAGTCAAAGAGAGAGAGGGATGAGTTTGTGTGTGTGCGTGACAGTGTATGTGTAAGTGTCTCCATGGTGATGTGTCTCTGCTCTGCGTGAGAATGGGGGTCCTTTATTCGTTACCATGGCAGCCCAGTCGGCTGTCGATTGGGAAAGAGCTGGTGCCAGGTCATAGGTCACCGAGGTGTCTTTATATTCCTCTGCTGCAGATGTATTTGTGCTTTTATAGTGAAACTATAGGCAGCCGAAAAGGAACTTTTCACCCACTCTTTTCCCCCGCCTCTGGCTTTTTCCTAACTCGCTCTCCCCTTCCACTCTTCTCTTCCTACCTCTTTTCACTGTTTCTCTTCTCCCATCTCTCAACATAATCTTCTTCTGTCCTCTCTCTCACTTCCTTTGCCACTCTTCACCCCTTTCTTTCCTCCTGTATCACACCGATCTTCTCTATAGGCAAATTCAAGTTGCTGGATGAAGACCGGGACGTCAGGGATCCAGTCCAGTATTTCTCTAGTGTGGAGGAGGTTGCTGGTGCCTTTCCAGACCGAGTTTTTGTCATGGAGACGATCACTTTCAGTGTCAAAGTAAGGCACGCCTATAATGAATTTCCACTTCAGCTTTGCCCTATTTACCACCACAGCAAAAACCTGTTTGAAAGAAAGCGAACAGACACTGAATAGACAATAAAGACAGCTTTAATGAAATCTAAACAGCATTAAGATTTGATCAAAAGTGAAAGGTGAAAAGCCTTCTTCTAAGGTGTTTGAAAAGTGAAGGGACACTCTTCCTTCTCAACATTTCTGCAACCTCCTCAGACTCTGTGCACTCGAAGTGGATGCTTGAAGTGTGGCTGTCTGATCACAGTCATTTCATATCCAAATATGTTATAACAAATGAAAAAACAAAGGCAAGGATGTTTGTATTACTGAAACAAAAACTAGGTGTAAAACATGAAATGGTGGGTGAAATCTAGTTGCATTGAAGTTTTCCGTAATAGCCTCAAAAGAGGACTTTTCACTTTTGTTTAACCAAATTTAGATATAGACTTCTTTTCTCGAGGCCATGATTGGCTAATGAGAATTTGGTCCAAAAAAAAAAGGTCCAGTGGCTTTTAACTACAGGTAGTTAACTAACCACAACAGTACTTTTATAGAAATTAATCCCTGAGTCATGCAATATCTTATACACATATACATCCATGTCTGTGTTGCAGGTTGTTTCAGGGGAATTTAGTGAAGACAGTGAGCCCTACAGTTTCACTCTGCAGGCTGGAGATGAGCTGTCGCTCATGGGGAAAGCAGAGCTTCTCTGTGCCACTCCCTCAAAGGAAAAGACGGGACTGAGCGCGCTCCTTAGACGACTAGGAAAGACTCCCAGAAGTAAGTCAGGCTGAACTATTGAGCTGTAAAGTTATGAAGTCCTGTTTCAGTTGTAGCACATGCACACGAGAACGAGGAAAACAAAAGCACTGGCAGAACTGAAGGTTGCTGAAGTTCATTCCTTTCTTTTTTTTGGAAGAATACCAGTCAGCCGCAACATTTAAGTCTCCTGCCTAATATTGTTTAGGTGTCCTTCATGCCGCAAAAGACAGCTTTGACCTGTCGCAGCATGGACACAGGTTCCCTGGGGCTGTTCGTTGGCAGAAGATCTTATGGGTCCTGTGGATTGCAGGGTAGGGCCTCGATGAGTCCTGCAGATTGGGAGTCCAGACCCGGCAGCGAACACATTGGACTCTTTGTGTGGTCCTAGAGCCATTCTCGAGCATTTTTTACAGCGTGGCTGGGCACATTGTCCTGCTAGTGGAGGTCACTTGTGTTGAAGATATCCTGTTTCTATTGGTGGGTGGGAGGGGGTGGTATTTGGCGCATGTGAAAATAACTTTCAGAACCCAAAGTTTCCCAGCAGAACATTGTGCTGTAACAAGAAGATCAAAGATATTCACTTAACATTGAAATCTGTGGATTTGTGGTGAACATAGAAATGTTTGAAAAAGTTAAAATTGTATTATTGTTCTGTTAGGACTGATCCACCCGTGAACTCCTAAATATCTTCTTTGTCTCTTCAGGTAAAACACCCTGCCTGGTCTGCATGAACCATCGCACCAATCAAAGTGTCAGTTTGCCCTTTGGCTGCCGTGGACGCTTCTGCACACGCTCTCCACTGGAGCAAGGCATGCTGGGTGGGGAGCACACGGTGCGCAGCATCATCGAGAGAGTCCGCCTCCCCGTCAACGTGTCTGTGCCGTCGAGGCCGCCACGAAACCCCTACGACCGTCACGCAGTACGAGAGGGCCACCGCTACAAGCTGCTCAACATAGTCAGCAAGACGGTGGTGCTCTGCATGGTTCTCCGCCATCAGGAAGTCTCCCCCTCCCACTTTTTGTTGCTGCGTTGCATGCCCCGGTTTAATGTGGCCGAGGCCTCCGTGCACAAAACAGCACTGGAGAGCCTTCTTCTGCGACATGCGTTTGACCCAGATGCCTACTCTCGTGCTGTTAGAGAAACTCGGCCAGAATTGGAGTGTATGACTGAGGAGTGTGTGAGCCCACGGCGCTCTCGCGTGTGTGTGTCGAGCCAGGACTCATTGGCACCGGCACTGCAGCGTCTCTCAATGTGCGGGTATGTTGGTGGAGTCTCAGACAGCGTGTCTCAGCGCTGCAGGGACTCCCTTGGAGAGCGGCTAGGGGAGGGGCCAGGTGAGGAGAGGGAGTATGTGACTCCTGAGTGGACTGAGGGTGAAATGAGGACCGCTGAGGAAATCCCTTATGAGGAACTCTGGACCAATCAAAATGCAGAGGGCTTAGGAAAGGAGCCAAACCTCATATCCTTCCATTCATCTTCCTCACTGGATGGTTCTCTTGGTACCGTGGTGACAAGAGTGTCTACCCCGCCACCCGTACCTCCAAAATCTGATGCTGTGAGTTGCAGTCCTCGCCTCCCATCCATCCTCTCGTTCTTCAGTCTGTCATCCTTCTTATCTGTCCACAGTAGCATCCGGCTGTTAAAAGTCAGGATGGCTGCCTTGAATTATTCATACACAACAGCTTTTAAACCCCACTGATACACTCAACGCAAATACAAGCACACACTGACTGTAATGCACACTGACTGGAAATGCTGCAATACACCACCCTTACTCTTATAGCACATACAGATATACATAGATAGATAGAGATACATAAGCGGGTCAGCCTCAACATAAAAACCACGTACACAGTGTTGTGTAAGCCTATTTATGCTGCCAAAATGGCTCTAACCTGTTTCTCCATAGACATGGGATCCCTTAAGGTGTCCGAGAACAAAGGTAGTGGATCCTCTGGGAATGTTCTAGCACATTCCACAGCTCAGATTGGGATCTGTCATGTCTGGATAACCAGTCAGTGTCTTTGTATTTTTTCCATGTTCTCGAGGAGTTTTTGCAGTGTTTCGGGGAGGAGTGTTCTTTTAGGAGAAACCACTATCATCAGTTCCACATTGCCATGGGAGCTGTTATTGACCTGGGTTGGTCGTACGTGTCTACTTATCTCCATCAATGTAAGGACCCAGGATTTCCAAGCAGAACTAGAGAGAATCAGTGCTGTCATTCACCTCACTCATTAGTGGTTTTTAGGTTGTGGCTGATTATTTCTAATGAATTGAACCGAAAGCTAAAGCTATTAAGACTGCTGAAGCTTTTTAATGTGATTGCTATAAATCAGCACTACACCTCCTAGGAGAAATTTCTTAAACATATAGAGCATTTCAGTTTTTTAATATTATAAGGATTACTTGGATTATGGATTATTGTGTGAATTAACTTGCCGAGACCAGAAGAAAAGAAAATGGGAAAAAGTCACAAGTCTGAAAATAACCAAAGCAAATTCATTTCCACAGACTTGATTGGCATGGTAGTTTTAGTTTGCTCTTTTTAATATCATATGGAGCAAGGTCCTAACTTCAATACCAGAGTGGTTATTCAGCAGCCAAGCCCTACTCTTTCCTAAGCTAGCGTGTGTCATTGATTTTCTGTCTTTAAATAACATAGAAATTCAAAGATGTGTGACTAACACAAGTAAGACAGATTATTACCTTTACTGTAAATGGACTGATCATGCTTCCATGCATAGTCACCCCTTCAAGTTCCCATTTGGAGCCAGGAAATCTCCCATTAAAGTCTCATTGTCTGGCTCCGTCAGAGTTCCCAGGGTTTAGCTTGACATTGAGTTACAGAAAAGTCTGAGAAGGTCATACCTAGGAAGATGTTTTTTTCAGAAAATAAGCATTGCAGGTGATATATTGTTAGCTTTCTTTGTACATTTTTGTGAATTTGTGGTATATTTTACTTTTGCTTTTGCTGAGACCAAATAACTGTTGGAATTAATTAATCACCTCCACTGTTTTCCCCTAAATGCTGCTGTACAGCAAAAATGCAGACTTTCCTTAAAATATTCCTTCTGTAGTGCATAATAAAATGTATAACAGGCATTACAAGATGTATAATGAAATTTACAAGATTAATTTTAACACTCAAACTGGTGCAAGTCAGGCTTTATGTAGACTATAAAGGTTCTTTTTTAATATCGTAATGTATTTTCTGTACAGCTCTAGTGTTGACCTTAAAGCTGGGGGTCGACCAGCACTTCCATGAATTAAAACATCTTTTTTCTTGTCTTTTTAAAGAGGAAATGGTGTCATATTGAAAACGATGTTGTTTTACCTACTGAGCTGTTTCACATTTCTAAGAGTCTTCCCAGGCAATGGTGTCCATGTGTAACTGTGTATGTTGTTTGCAAAGCGCACATTTTCATGCTTTTGTTTTGTTTAATTAACTTTTTTTTCCTTTTAAAGTGAGGCCAGCGGAACAGAAAGGTTTGTGTGGGTGTTGACGTCTCCTCTGCAACTGGATTATACCCTGTCACACATAGCGTTCTCCTGATATTTAGCCTGCCAAGACACTGTGTGTCTGTGTGTGTGTGTCTAGATGCTGCTACTGTGTGTAAGGAGTTTGTTTGAGTTGTAAAGGTCACAAAGTTTGACATTTACTCTGTGTTGCACACACACACACGCTCGCACACACTTGCACAAAGCCTCCTGAGAAGTCTATTTTTAAGATTAACCTTTTTTTATTTGGCTTTTGTGTGTGTTATTGTTATGCTTATGTTTCTGTGTGTGTGGTTTGTGCTTGCAGGTGAGAGAGGAGTGTCGCTATTTGATCGCCCCTCCAGTTCCCCCTCGTTGCTCCAAAGGAGGCTCCATCTCCAGTCCAGCTCCCAGCCCTCCTGTTCCACCTCGCTTCCCCAAAACGTCCACCTCCCCGAGACCAAACATCTCCTTTTACTCCTCTGGACTACAGGACAGGTACAGTATAAAACACGTAATGCGTAAATCCTTATTTTGACATACTGGTATCATTTTTGAGAGGATTGAAAGCCTTTTCTGGTCTCACTGCTTGACATGATTGATTACACGAAAAGGGAGAGAATGAAGTTCCTCCAGCTCCAAACTACTACAAGAGTCCAAATACTGTAGCTTCAAACAGAGCTACTGCAATGGCTGTTTCCAAATAAATTGCAATGAAAAATGCCCATAAGATATGGATGTAGACACCCATTAGTTTGTGGACTTCTATTTTCAAGTCTCAAGTTTAGATTGTTTTCTCCTTAGTGCAACCAACCTGACAGCAATAATATTTGTCTGATAAGTCTTTTTTTTTGGCTGCATTTTTCAGCTCTGAAAGGTTACTGCTTACAGATTTCCCGTTCTTGCCCTTTAAAGAAGATTATAAGGTATATGGAAAGAAAGTATGGGAAGGTTATCTAATCTGAACTGACAGAAGCACAGAAAGCAATGCCATTTACAATATGAAGCTCCATATTGATTGTTTGCTTGTTCTATAAATAGACGATATAAGGAATGATACATTTTTTATGAATTGACAGCAAACTAAGGAGACTTTTTCAGCATGTAGCTGCTGGAACTTGAAATATGGTCATTTAAATACTTTTGTAAATATGATATGTAGCTAATATTTTCAAAATCTTTTACATGACACATTTTCTCTGTCTTGTCCCAGTTGCTCCCCCTCTCCCGATGCCTCCCTCTACTGTTACCCGTGCTCTTGGGGTGACTGCTCTGCCCCTAATCCTACTAGTCCTGAGCCTGTCTCTGGCATCCCTACAGACAACACAGCCAATCCTCAGCCTGCACAAGCCACCTGGGCAGAGCCATGGGTGGATTCCTTCACTTCCTCTGGACTTCGACTCAGGCCGCCACCCCCACAGAGTCGATTCGCTCCTTTTGGGGCGTTGAACCCCTTCAACCGCCAGTCCCCTTGCCCCTCGCCTGAGCCTGCTCCCATTTCCACAACAGATTCTTCCAGAGGTGCAGAGGGTGGTGGGACATCAACAGGAGTCACTGAGGGGTTGTCCCCGCTCCCTGACCCTACCTGGCGACCTCCCGCTGACCTGTCTGCTCTGTCATTGGAGGAAGTCTCAGCTTGCCTGCGGTTTATTGGCCTATCAGAGGCAGCGGTGTCCGTGTTCCAAAGGGAGCGAATCGATGGCAGCCTGCTGGTGCAGCTGACTGAAGATATCTTGTCACATGACTTCCACCTGAGCCGACTCCATGTGACCAAGATCACACAATTCATACAGGGCTGGAGGCCCAAAATCTAATATACACACTGTCCTGAGAATGTGCCTGTTGGCTGCTGAGCCTCCCTGAATGTGCCTTCCACTGTGACCAACTGGCTGCTGAGCCCAATGAATGAAACTGAAGGAAACTACGCCACACTGTGGTCAAACTGTAGAATTGACACTTGACTGGCTCTAATGCTTAAAGTCAGACTGACATGTTTCCTGTCTGAATCACAGTCTGGCACTAGTTTACTAACAAATGGCTACAACAGAGAGCTCCAGGATAAAAGTGCCCTCTTTGGAACTTAAAGTCTGATTTAAACAATGTGTGGCGTTCACACCGTTCAACTTAGAATTTGATATGCAAGGGAAATTTCTATCATTTTATCTTAAATGAGATTTGATGAATGAACAGAATTTCAGCACTTTTTAGACACTTTATTTAGTCATCAATAGGTGTTAAATTAATTTCAAGACAAGGTAATTTAAGGAATTGTAACATTTTGACCCTATACAGGTCATTTAAACATCCTTCTTTATTCACTGAGTTTCAGTGGAATGTAATTGGCACAGATAAAGTGGGAGGTTGTTGTAAATTAAAACTACCTTCAAAAGAAGATTGAGGAAAATATGAAAAATATCAGACCTCTGAGCAGTCGTTGACAAAATTACTGAGGTTTTGGTACTGATTTTTTTTGGTATAGGTCAGTCTATGCTTTGGGAGGGATGATATTTTTTATTAACAGTCCCTTTAAAGGTAACAATCGCTGTTATAGTAAAACTCAGAAATGGAGTTGTAAGTGTACCTCAGATTTCTCATCCACATAGATTGATCAAAGTCCTACAATATCAGGAATTGTCACCACTCAGTTTTCTTGAAAAGCTAATATTTCTGCCACTACCTTTGCTGCCTTTTTCACCCACTGTTTTAGATCCATCTGTGAGTGCTTTGTTTCTGTTATAATCTCTTGTAACATCTGCAGATAACCCCAAATAAAGACAGAAAAGCAACAGAGAGAGAGACAGGGGAGAATTCTTCATTGAACTTGCTCCACCTGGCCGAGCCTGAGGTTATCAGCACAAACCTCATCTTCAGATAGCAGACATTAGACACTGATAATGAATGTAGTCAAATTTTGTAATAAGTTAACACAGCTACTCTTTGCTTTTCTACATACCATAAAAAAGCCCAAGTTATTAAGTCTTGGACGGAACAGCTGTGAAGTTTGTTCAATGAATTAAAAAGAAACTCACATAAAAATGTATAATAAATAAACAAAAAAAAATTCTACCTAAAATCACTGAGTCAGAAAAATGAGAATAAGCACAACACTTCAGTTTCTCTTCTTAGAGCATTAAAAATGAGGAGATGTTTTTCTAAGAGGCTTAACGATGGTTGGCTTTCATATACTTGATGGCTGCTTCCTTAGTTACACCTTGGTATTCAGAAGTATTAATTCTTTGGAGCATAGATTCAACAAGGTGCTGGAAAATTGGGCTTACATTGACATGATTTGTTAACTACACATCTGTGATGTGAATCTCCTTTTTCACCACATGCCAAAAATGCCATCTGAGTACAGCAAACTCATTGGTGTGTTCAAAAACCACAGTTTGAAATTTTTTATCCTGTTGGAATTAGCCATCAGCTTAATACACTGTGCCCATAAAGGCATAGACATGGTCAGCAATGTTGATATTAAGGTTATCCCCTACACCATTACACCACCAGCAGGAGCCTGAGAAGTTGTTATGAGCCAGGATAGATTCATGCTTTCATGTTTATGCAAATTCTGACCCTGCCATCTGAATGTCACAGCGGAAATTGAGATTCAGGCAGAGTTTTTTCAGTCTTTGGTTATCCAATTTTGGTGAGCCCATATGAACTGTAGCCTGAGTTTCATTTTAGCTGACACCTACTGCTGTAGCCCATCTGCTTAAATGTTCGACTTGTTGTGCGTTCAGGGGTTTTCTTCTGTGTACTTTGGTTGTAATGAGTTGTTACATGAGTTACTGTTGGTTTCCTGTCAGCTTGAAGCATTCTGGTTGTTCTCGGACCTCTGGCACCAAACAAGGCAACTGCTGCTTAGTAGATATGTTCCCTTTTTAAAAAAAATAAATAAATAAATACTACTCTGTAAATCCTAGAGATGGTTGTGTGGCAAAAATCCCAATAGATCAGCAGTTTCTGAAATACCCAAACCAGCCCATCTGGCACCAACAATCATGCCACATTTAGAGTCACTTTAATCACCTTCCTTCCATATTCTGATGCTCAATTTAAAGTTCAGGAGGTCATCTTTGCCATGTTTACATGCATAAATACACTAAGTTGCTGTCATGTGGTTGATTAGATATTTGTGTTACTGAGCCGTTGAACAAATCTGCTAATATACAAATCTGCTGAGAGAGGGGCAGATGCCCCCCCGGCCCCAAACTAGATCTCTGCTCTTACCTGTGTGTTCTATTTGAGGGGTGTATCCTGATGACAGTATTGTAATATAACTGGCTACACTGAGGGCAATCACAAAGCAAGATCATCCAAATGATCCAAATGACTGACAATGCAATTTATGTTGTTGTGAATCACTACCTGTAATTTTTTTTTTACTATTATCCCCAGGTTTGATGGGTTTCAGCTAGGGCAAAAGCTGAAGTCAAGTTTCACTCGGATCTACTACACTCATGTAATACTGATCTACTCTGCAATCTTGTAACTACAAAACCACTGAAGAAATAAAGGAGAGATCAAAAAATAAACCGAATGACACCTGATGTTTTAATGCAACCTTCACTTTTTATTTTGGTTGTTGGGAGTTTGAGTTAACACTGGTGCCAGATAGAATCCAGATAGCCGCAACATCTGGGCTTCATTTGGTCATGTTGCAGGCCAAAATGGGTTATGGCTAATGTAGCATAGGTCAGGTGAGGTTGGACACATTACCACAATTTGTATATAAAAAAAAAAACACCCCAAAAAGATGAAAAGAAAAAAGAAACAGTTTGTGTGGTCACACCCACTTGAGCCATAACACATGAAAGTATCACTTTCTGATTATATAAATGATGTAAGTGGAAATCTGTAAAGCTGGTAGATAGTTATAATAGACCATTTGGTCTCCCAGAAATGTTGTTAGTAGTTATACAGTATTTTTTTTAATAGCAGCTCAATTGCATAAATGAGCTGTTACCTTATTCTGAAATCTTTCCTTGGATTATTTTAGGTTGATTCCTTTAGTTTGATATTAGAAGACATATCAGTGCAATCCCTTAACGTTCACTTATTTGAACTTAGAAAAAGCAAACTGGCATATTTGCTGCCCTAACAGTTCAGACATACCAAAGAGGGACTACTAGTCCCTCTCTCAAAACGCTAAGTTGTTTTTAGTATTGAAGCGGGGAGGGGGATGATTGGTAAAACTTTTTGCTGGGGTCTTTGGTGTGGTCTAGTAGAAGCTGGCAGGGTGTAAACTGGTTTCCATAAACATCCTCAAAACGTTTCATGAGGCTCACAAGGCGCTCTGCACCAAATGTGTCAACAAATCTGAACGGACCTGAATGTAGGAATAACAAAAGGTCGATTAGCACCAACACAATAGATAACCATCAGTTAACTAATATAAATAGTTCAAAAGTATACAAATGTTGGAGACATACCACCGTGCATGGGAGGAAACCCATATCCAAACACTGCTCCAATGTCTCCTTCTAGAGGGCTTTGTATTATTCCCTCCTGGAGACACATCAACGACTCGTTTATGCAGCGAGACAGCAGCCGGTACTGCATGTCGTATTCTGAAGAACTGCAGCAAACACATAACTTCAGAGAGACAGATCAGAACAGGGCAATTAGTAGATCTGAGGAGAGGCTGTTTTCTTACATTGCAGAGGGAGCAGTCACTTGATGGTTCTTGAGAATTTCTTCTACTTCAGGATTCACACTCTTAGTCTTTCCATAGAGAAAGAATCCTTTTCCAGATTTACAACCTATAATTTAAAAATAAAGCATTAGAATCGTGTTTGTGTGAATGGTAAGCTGATCCTCAAACGTGTTCCTCAGTCTTAGAAACCCGTGCCCTTACACGGTTAGATTTTAGAAATCAGGTAGCAAGATAAATCCATTTTTGATTATATTAAAGTCACCATTTTAGGGTAACAGTTCCTGTTATAGAAAAATTCATCTCAATGATAGTTTAAATATTAAGGGTTAAGAATAAGTCTGCCCTAAGACAGCTGGGATAGGCTCCAGCCCAAGAAGTCATCGTTCATTGGAACACACTTCAGCATCATCTCCTTAGCTAAGGCAGAACACAAACATCACTTTCATCAGCAGTCAACAAATGTGTCCATTGTAACCTCTCTTTCTTCTTAGGAGTTCATGGTAGAGTCCATTTGACTTTTCTGAATGTAAAACTGATGTAGGTAGACAATGTCTGACTTCAGAGTGAGGGTGTGTCATCATAGAGATTTTACATTTGACCACTCAAAATGCAATTCATTTAAACAAATTTAATGTCTTTGATATCCTGCTTTGAGGTGGTGATGACTCTCAAAGCGGAGTCATAGAGAACAGAATGAAAAGAAGAAGAAGAAGAATCAAAATTAGTAAAAATCAGTAATATCGCTAATGCAATCGAAATCGCTAAATTCTCATCAATTCCAATACTTGAGTGCATGACAAATTAGTAGTGAGTGATAATGCCCCTATTTTAATGTGAAATGTTTTAACCTTTGAGGCCTTTTTCCAACATGGTCTTGAAAATCTCCAGGCTTCCTCCTTCATAACGGGAACCAAAGGCTTTGCACAGCATCTAAATCCAACAATAAACACAGAATACAAAATCCCATCTGTCCCAAAAATCGAAATCAACATGGGCTGTGTTCAAAGTAAGTGAAAGATTACCTCTGAAATATGTAATCCTATGTCAACACCGACTTCATCAATGACTGTGAAAGGTCCGACATTAAAACCAAAGCTTGTTGCCAGGAAATCACTTTTTGTTGCGGTCACACCTTCCTGTGGAACAAAATGTGGGTTATTTTAAAGCAAATGTAAAAAGATAAAAATAAATGCTTTAAATAATTACTGGGACCTGATGCTCAACCATTTCTTTAGCAGGGAAAAATTGGCAACACTATTATTTCTCCAAGTCTTTGATTACCTGAAGAAGTCTCAGAGACTCCATAAGCAAGCAACCCATGCAGCGCGTGGTGTAAAAGCCCGGACCATCCTGTAGTCCAGTGGGTTTCGAGGCAGAAAGAGAGCAACACAAGGAGACATGCACCAAAATATAATAGAATAATGAGCAAAATGACTAAGATGAAAATAAGATTCACATAGGCTGAAATACTAACTGAAGAACACTTTCAGAGTTGCCATCACCTTGACAGTGACGACAATCTTTCCCTGTTTCAGGGCCATGCTGACAGCAGCACCCAGCGTGTCCTTAGATGTCTTATCTGTGGTGACAATCTCCACCAGTTGCATCTTGTCCACTGGGGAGAAATAGTGTATGCCAATCACCTGCACAGGCACATATGCAAATTGGTCAAACAACATCACACAGGAAATAAAGATTCTCAATAATATGTTGAGAAGCCATTATTTTAAAGCCATGATAATAATCACCAAGAAAGTCAAGTGAAAATTAAGGTAGAACTCAACTGTGCAAGCATGAATCAACATTACATTTTTTTTAAAATTACTGAGCAAACAGGATAATTTATATTGTGCTCAGTCCTGTTGTAACACACTGAAGATATGTTGAAAGTAAAAGTTTGGAGCATTTCAGACTTTTTCAGGGCGTTTGCTGGCAGCAGCGATGTCTCTGACGGGTAGAGCTGAGGTGTTGGTCGCAAATATGCAGTGTGGTGGGGTAACCTGGGGGGGGGGGAGGGGGAAGAGTACATTTCCTTATAACTTTAGCTATCTGGACATTATTCTGGAAATCACCAAGCAGCCTGCTGACTTGACTTTTGTTGGCAGTAGCAGCCAAGATAGCCATAGTCAGCTAGTGAATTCACGTTCCACATGCCAGTGATTACTTATTAATGCAAATAAGTCTTAGACAGAAAATAACTGTTAAACAGCTAACATAGCTATGGTAGAATAATAATGACATAATACTACCTGCATGCAACCAAAAGCTTCACAAAAATGATTGAAACTCCAAACAAGAAAAGGAAATCTTCATCTACATCAATCCCACTTAGTTCTTTAACAGTTACTTTGGGTTGGCCTGAGAATTATCTCAAGTTAAAACCTAAATTAAGGTGAGATTTCTCCAAACAGGTTAGTTCTTCACCAGTTCTTGCTCAAAGTAATTTAGAAGTTCTTAGATGCCCATTTATTGTAATACATTTTCAATGCCAATTTAACCACCTCTAACTAAAACAGTTAAAGACAGAGTAGTTCCGGCAAAACTGCACTCACTGCCTCCACCTCCTTGAGGACTTGATGTTTAATGTTGAGGTCTTCAAACACAGCCTCTATCACCATGTCAGCAGACTCAAAACCAGAGTAATCCGTCTGAATCGACAGATTAGACATAAAGGCGTCACGCTCAAATGATGTCATGGCTGTCTTCTTCACCTTGGTGTCGAAACTGAAGATCAAGAACATTGAGGAGAAAAAAAACCACACAAACAAAAATACCTCAAACTGTAAAGCCACTTTTATTTTTCAATAAATAAATAAATAATATTGAATGCGTGTATATTACCTTTTATAAACCTTTTCATATCCTTTGCTGATGGCATCCTCTGTGGTGTCCTTTAGGATGCTGGTGAGGCCTTTATCTACGGATACCTGTGCTATACCTGCTCCCATTAGCCCTGCACCCAGAATGGCCAGCTTTCTGTTGCAAACATTTTGTACAGGTGTCTTACTGCTATCGCTGAGGCAACTGTATATAGACAGCAAATGTATATGGCAACATAAATCACCCCTGTTTACAGTTCTTACTTTACTTCCTTTTCTGGGGGACCAAATCGGTTCTTCTTACACAACAAACGGCCATGGTGAAGTCCAATCAAAGCTTTGGATTCAGAAGTCCTCACCAGCTTACCAAAGCTCTGTGAAGGGTTAAAAGAAACAAGAATTTAACAAATACAATTAGTCTCTTTAACAACAACAACAAATCCAAAAACTTGATTATAGAGTCATCAATGAAACCCACAAGCTTAAACTGTTAAGCAGCCCATTCTCATTCCCGGGACATCAATTAATGCCATTTTGTCAAAGCTCTTGGCATGACTCGTTTAACCCTAAGGTGTTCATTGGTGATGGGGCTTTATGCACATACTTATGGCATTAGTGAGGAGAGTCTGTCACTCCACATTCATCATTTGATGAATGAGGAAGCTTCCTGTTGTAACCCAAACTCTGCTCTTTTCCCAACACTAACTACAGAGTGAAAAACAAAACAGAAAAAACACCCAGCAAAAAAAAAAAGGCAAAAAGGGCAAAAAGCAACAAAAGGAAGAAAACCAACAAAAAGCCAAGAAGAATTTTTTTAAAAAACCAACCGAACGAAAAAAAAAAACAACAATTCTGTTAGTCCAACTCACCTGAGCTTCAGCCAAATAACCTGCGTCACTGCCGTGCTCTATGCCAGTTTTAACACACTGCACATGAAAATAAGACAGCATGAGACACTCAGCAGCAACATCATGCGCTAATATGTTTATCTTCACCCATAAGTGTACTCTTTACCTCAATAATCTGGAACGGAGCAGGGTAGAGGTTTTTAGTTTGTTTC